TACAAACTTTATGCAAAGATATCGGGCGTATCTCACACTTAATTTTGACGCTTATTTCATTCTTAATTCATTAAATTATAAAAATCAAGAAAATAAACACATAAATCACATAATTCACATAATTCACAAATAATACATTCTTATTATTTCAAGTTGAGTTACAAAGGTTAACCTAGACTATTACATTGCTAAAAATGGCAAGCCCAGAAACACAGGCGTTACAATTCTCTCCACCTTAGAATGATTCCGTCCCCGGAATCACACATCAACAAACAAATGCGGATAGCGACTCCTCATGTCACTCTCCGTCTCCCAGGTGAGTTTGGCCCATTCGTGTGTTTCCATCGGACAAGCACTAACTCACCATCTTACGTCGCAATTTCTTAGTCTTTCGGTCAACAATTGCCTCTGGTTCTTCAATCAACCTTTTGTTCTCATCGATTCTCAACTCGAAAGTGGAATCATGTCGGGAACTTCTCCCGTGAACTTCTCAAATAACACACATGAAAGTGTTATGAATTCCATTCAGTTCTTCTGGTAGTTCGAGCTTGTAAGCTTGGTTCCCAATCCTCTGAAGAACTTTAAACGGTCCAATAAACCTTGGACTCAACTTTCCCCTTTTACCAAATCTTATAAGTCCCTTCCACGGCGAGACTTTAAGCAAAACCGAATCCCCAACTTCAAAAGTCATCGGTCTTCGCTTTTTGTCAGCATAACTCTTTTGACGATCTTGAGCTGCTAACATTCTTTCCCTAATTATTTTCAACTTTTCAGCAGTCTGATGAACCATCTCCGGTCCCATAAACTGCTTTTCCCCAGCCTCAAGCCAACAAGACGGCGTACGACACTTTTGTCCATACAAAGCTTGGTAAGGTGCCATCTTAATGCTCGAGTGAAAACTATTGTTATAGGAAAATTCTACCAACGGTAAATGTTCATCCCAATTACCTAGGAATTCCAAGGTACATGCTCTCAGCATATCTTCAAGTGTTTGTATCGTTCGTTCGCTCTGACCATCAGTCTGCGGATGGTAAGCTGTACTTAAACACAACTTGGTACCCAATTCTTCTTGTAGACTTTTCCAAAATCGCGAGGTGAAACGACTATCACGATCCGACACAATTGTTAACGGAACACCGTGAAGCCTCACAATTTCCTTTACGTAAGAATTCGCAAGCTTTTCCATAGACCATTTCTCCTTGGCTGCTATGAAATGCGCACTCTTAGTGAATCGATCAACGACCACCCAAATCATGTCGTGACCATTCTTTGTTCTGGGCAGTTTAGTGACAAAATCCATGGCAATGTCTTCCCACTTACCCATAGGCACAGGTAAAGGTTCTAAACTCCCGTACGGTTTCTGATGTTGTGTCTTGACTCTCGCACAAGTCACACACTCGGCCACATACTTTGCAACATCAAGCTTCATCGTCGGCCACCAGTAGTAGGGTTTCAGGTCCCTATACATTTTAGTGCTACCGGGATGAATCGAATACATGGTCTTGTGAGCTTCTTCCATCAGAAGATCTCTAATTCCTCCTGACTTAGGTACCCAAATACGATCTTGGAATACCTTCAGTCCATGACCGTTTGTACCAAACACCAACGTTTTACCCAAACGTTCCTCCTTTCGGTCATTTTTCTCAGAAGCTTCCTCTTGAGCTTTCTTTATACTTTCCACAATGGTCGAGACAACTTCAATTCTCAACGCTCTTGGCCTTTTCCTTTCAAGATTGACTTTCCGACTGAGAGCATCAGCAACAACATTAGCCTTACCGGGGTGGTAAAGTATCTCGCAGTCGTAGTCCTTGAGTAATTCCAGCCAGCGTCGTTGCCTCATATTCAATTCCTTCTGATTAAAGAGATATTGGAGACTCTTATGATCAGTGAAAAGTTTGCACTTAGTGCCATAGAGGTAATGCCTCCATATCTTCAGAGCGAAAACTACTGCTGCCAACTCCAAATCATGAGTCGGGTAGTTCTTTTCATGCTCTTTCAGTTGTCGAGACGCATATGCTATCACCTTTTCTCTTTGGGTTAAAACACAACCCAATCCAACCCCAGACGCATCGCTATAAACAGCGAAGTCTTCAACTCCTTCGGGTAGAGAAAGTATCGGTGCCTCGCATAGTTTCTTCTTTAGCTTCTCGAATGCTTCTTTATGCTTCTCACTCCAAGCATAAGCAGCTCCTTTGTGGGTCAAAGCTGTCAATGGAGTAGCAATCGAAGAAAAGCCTTGGATAAACCTTCGGTAATATCCGGCTAATCCTAAAAAGCTTCGAATCTCCGTGGGACTTTTCGGTTGTTCCCACTTCATTACAGCTTCAATCTTTGCTGGATCAACCATTATCCCTTCCTGGTTGACCACGTGACCCAAGAATTGGACTTCACGAATCCAAAAATCACATTTGGAGAACTTAGCATACAGCTTCTCCTTCTTCAAAACTTCTAACACTTCTCGCAAGTGTCTGCCATGCTCCTCCTGGCTTTTTGAGTAAATCAGAATGTCGTCGATGAACACTATCACGGATTTATCAAGGAACGGATTACAAACCCTATTCATTAAATCCATGAATGCTGCCGGAGCATTGGTTAGTCCAAACGACATAACCAAGAACTCGTAGTGTCCATATCTAGTTCTGAACGCAGTCTTCTCTATATCCTGCTCTCTTACTTTCAGCTGATGATATCCTGACCTAAGATCGATCTTCGAGAAATAGCTCGAACCTTGCAATTGATCAAATAGGTCATCAATCCTTGGCAACGGATATCTATTCTTTATTGCCTTGTTCAGCTCTCTGTAATCAATGCACATTCTCATACTTCCATCTTTCTTCTTCACGAATAACACCGGAGCTCCCCAGGGCGATGAACTAGGTCTAATGAAACCTTTGTCCAACAACTCTTGAAGTTGCATCATCAGCTCCTTCATCTCCGTTGGTGCTAATCGATAAGGTGCTTTTGCTATTGGCGTGGTTCCTGGTAGCAAGTCTATTCTGAACTCTACTTGCTATCAGGTGGTAATCCAGGAAGATCTTCGGGAAATACTTCCGGATAATCACACACCACAGGAATACTCTGCATCACCTTCTTTTCCTTCTTAGCATCAATCACGAATGCTAAATATGATGTACATGGTCAAACACTTTCTGGCTTTCATTAGGGAAATGATTCCAGAATTCACTCGGCGTTTGTCCCCATACACCATAAACGATTCTTCCAGGCGGGTTTACTTTAACTATCTTTTTTGCATAAAATTTCGGCATCATTGGCGCTGAGCCAATCCATTCCCAACACGATGTCGAAACCATTAAGTTCGATAGGCAATAATTCCTCGGAACTTATTCCCATTCAAGTCGATTAAGATGTTTTTCATACGATGGCTAACAGGTACAAACTTGCCACTAGCAACTTCGACTAATAAAGCATTATCTAGTCTATCAACAGGCAAAGCTAGTTTTCTACCAAATTCATGCGATATAAAGGAGTAGTTGGCTCCAGAATCAAATAAAATTTGGGCAGGCAAATTGTTAACGAGAAAGGTACCTGAAGCGACATCAGCTTCATCCTTAGCAGCTTCCAGTGTCATCTGGAATGCTCTCGCCTTCGGCTTTGGTGGAATGTTGGGCTTAGCTGCCTCCTTCTTCTTCGGACAGTCTTTCAAAATATGCCCCTCTTCATTACAACCAAAACACATCCTTTTGTTGTTCGGACATTCATTGGCAAAATGTCCAACCTTTCCACACTTGTAGCAAGTTACATCCTCGCTACATTTCCCGAAGTGCTTTTTCTTACACTTTTCACACCACTTCGCTTCCCCTCCTTTACCCCCACCAAACCTTTTCGAATCAGATTTCGAAAATTTGCTTTTCTTGCCGGAACCAGATGTTCCCTCAAACTTCCTCTTCTCACCAACCTCAACCTTGTTGGTGGTTCTCCCCTTTATCATGTTCTCAACAGACTTGGCAGCCCAGATAGCTGCCTCTAAAGTATGTGCCTGACGTACTGGCACCTCATACTCCCATGGGAGTCCCTTCGCATACCGGTCCACCTTCGTCAGCTCGTCTGGAACGATACGCAAGGCAAACTCCATCTTATCGGTGAAGTTATTGGTGTATTCATCAACTGACATACTGCCCTTAGTCAATGTCAGGAACTTGTTCTCCAACTCCAACAGATTTTGAGCCGAGCAGAACTTGCGCTTAAACTGCACCAAGAACTCTGCCCATGACAATTGCAGTGGCTCATTAGGGCTCAAAGTCTTCCCTAGAGTGTTCCACCAACGAACGGCTCCACCTCGGAATTGACGCACGGCATAGATGGTTTGCAACTTACCTCTGCAGCCACACGTCATGAAGGCTAGCTCCATTTCGGAGATCCAATCCATAACCCCAATCGGATCCTCCTTTCCATTGAAGGTCGATGGTTTGCAAGTCAAAAAGTCCTTGTACTTGCATCCCATTCCATCATTCCTTCCATCGCGGTTATCTTGCCTAACTATCGGTGGGTTGGCTTGACCAACTGATCCACTGAAGTTTCCACCTTCCGAGTGCCCTTCATTTAATTCAGGCTCTTCCACACGAATCGACAGTTCTTCACGATTTTGTTGAAGCAACCGTCTAGTTTCCTCCATCTGACGATCCAACATCGTCTGAATCATCAATTGCACACCAGCCATGGTTATTGGCTCAGGTGCTGCTGCTACAACAGGTCTTTGTTCAATCACTGGTGGTTGATTCCTATTTTCATCAGCATTTCCAACTCCACTTCTTGTTCTCACCATTTTTGATCTACACACCGAATAAGGTGAAATTAGATCCTTATTCACGATAGATATTCAAATCATCCTTATCACTCCGAAACGTTTACATGCTAGTTCTAATATCGTAGACGTACGCTTAGAATCCTACACACATAAGGTTTCTAGATCCGGTCGGCAACAGACCATAGATCCGAACAAATAATATCATATATGGCAACATATAACATTTAGCACATAAAGCATTTTAGGCAACTTTCCTAAAATAAACTAGTGCTTGTGTCTTAAAACATAACAGACACATCTCAAAATTCCACTTAGCATTCTAAGTTTAAGTCTAGAAATCCTACAAATTCCTAGTTCGCTTAAACTAATGCTCTGATACCAACTGTGACATCCCCAAAATCTCGGCCAGAAAAGACCGATTTCATTTATGCTTTTTAAAATAATTTTCAGAGTAAATCCTTTTAATTTTAAAAGAGATGCGGAATTTGTTCCCAAAAACAAAACATGATAAAATAGATATTTATCAAAACATTTCATAAAGAAATATGATTTCATTTCATAATCAAAAGTCGGGATGTCATGTTCCGATACAGATCATAAAGCATAAACGATAGCATTACAAGTCTTTCAACAAATATATACATATACAGACTTGTAAACAAAACAACTTGATGTTCGCCCATCTTAAGCTCTTGCGCCACTTCCTGTAAAATAAATCAACTGAGTGGGTCAGGCTTGGGAGCCTGGTGAGCATATAGGGTTTTCAACCCACAATAAATAATTAAATTAATTATTATCAACCAACAATAACCCAGTTACCCATTCCCGTTATTCTCACTTTATGTCCCTAAAATAACTAACACAAGGGACCTAGTCTAAGAATATTTCATCGGGGCGACTACACATGCTTCGGGGGTTCCTCAGCAATATAAGTCAAATAAGGCAACCATGGGGGGATGGAATACAGCGAATGAACACCCAAGTTCATTAACACCTACAGGTTATGAGCCTGCTAGCGTTCCACTGGACTATCTAGAAAAGTCCGTGGTCGTCATCTAAATTCCGCTAGATGACTGGATCAAAACAACATCGAGGCCTCTCATCTGTTTATTACACACCAACTATCTACCCATATTCTACCCAACATATTAGTAGATAAAATATACATTTTTATACGTAGTTTCAAAACCTGTATAGCATGCTCAATCAAAACATTTTTCACATAACAGATGAGGCACACACACATAACACGTATTTCATAGAGAATAATCAGATCTATAAGATAGAAGAGAGTGTATACATTCACATATATAACAACCAATATATACACATAGCACGTATTTTATATAAAATACTTCATAATATTGTGTTGGAATGAAAGTAACTACACACTCACTTGATCAGAAGATGATCGGGCAGCACTACGGCTTGCAGAAGAGGTGTTTCTCCGTAGATCTGGAAGATCTTCACAAAACCGGGCTCCTCGCGGGCAGCGTTTCGGCTCGGGAATAACGCTCTTCGGGATTCTCGGGGCTTCGGATCTTGCTTCGGGGCTCGGAATATTACCGGGGCTTCGGGGTATAAACGGCACGCAAAACGAGGCAAAACTTAGAGAGAAGAGAAGAGTTTGAACAAGAGAAAATGGCTGAATTCGAGTTCTATTTATAGGCTGCTGGGTCTGGGATTACGCGGGGCGTACTCAAATTACGCGGGGCGTACTCAGTACGCGGGGCGTACTCGGGTTACGCGGGGCGTACTTTGACGTCACTGCGTGCGTCGACTGGTGGCACTCGAGTATTGGTCAGACAAGTTGCAACCGACTGAGTACGCGGGGCGTACTCAAATTACGCGGGGCGTAATTGACTTGTCAAACTTCTAAATTGCGTAACTTTCGCATACGAGCTCCGTTTTCGACGTTCTTTATATCCACGCGAAGGTCAGACCGTACTCTACAACTTTCATTTAGACTCCGTCGGCTAATTTTGACTTTTATTTTTATTATTTATTTTTAGAAGGCCGGGACAGAAAAACTTCGTTATAAATTCATAACTTCTTCGTCTGACGTCCGTTCTCGCCTAACTTTTCATTGCTTCGCTACTAACAACAAGATCTTCGATTCTCATTTAGATTGTTTCAGCTAAAAACCGCTCGATCTCAAATCGAGTATTCGGGCTGCATACTGCCACGTCGAAACTTCAGAAAATCATAACTTCCTCATACGAAGTCAGATTTGGGCGTTCCTTTTATGCACGCTCTCGGTTTAACGAAATCTACGACTTTCGTTTAGATCGCTAAGGCTAAATATCGTTCTATCTTAAATTCATATTTTACGTCACTCGGCGTCGTGCTGGTTCTGTCTCGAAACTTCGACAGGTCATAACTTCTTCGTTATAACTCGGATTTTGGCATTCCTTATATCTCCGAAATCCTTATTTCGACCACTACAACTTTATGCAAAGATATCGGGCGTATCTCACACTTTAATTTTGACGCTTATTTCATTCTTAATTCATTAAATTATAAAAATCAAGAAAATAAACACATAAATCACATAATTCACATAATTCACAAATAATACATTCTTATTATTTCAAGTTGAGTTACAAAGGTTAACCTAGACTATTACATTGCTAAAAATGGCAAGCCAAGAAACACAGGCGTTACACCAGATAATCCTATGATTTTCGATTTATTACGCGTGTTGTGGGTTGCCATCGTCGGTATGTGTTATTTGTTGGATCCAGATCTTCGTCGCTAGACCTCCACCATTACCAGCCTCCTGTTTACAAACCCTTCACCAGAATCAAATTCTGGAAGCACCCTTCTTCTTCTTTCTAGATCTGACAAGAAGGTGTTGCTCCTTACAACAGATGACGAAGAGATGGTGGTGCTTAGGCGAAAATAGTAGCTCCGATAGGTAGTGATGGTCAATATGAGGAGTCAATGGGTCAATTTGTTAAAGAGTGAGGGGGGTTGGGTGGGTTAGTCGGAGGGGGTAGATATATTTTTATGTTTTTTTAATAAAGAAATTGAAAAGTAAATAAAAAATAAAAAAAAATTATCAAGGGCATAATCATTATTTTAAATTTTTTCAAATTAAAACAATAACAAAAATTACTTTTTGGAATAATGATGCTAATCCAAAACTTTTTCTAGTAAAATGATAGTTTTCGACAAACCACAAGGACCATTTTTGCAATACCGTCTTTTGTATAATATACTAGTAGGGATGACCATAGGTGGGTACCCGCCTCGTTTTGAGAGAACAAGAACAAGATCCGACAGTTCCTAGAAAGTTAGAACCGAACCAGTCTAGACGGTTCTTAAATTTTTGGAACAAGTCCCACTGGCGGTTCCGATTCTAGGACTGGGTAACCCGGTTACATCAATATATGTTTACTTTTGTCAATAAAAACCTCAATTTAGTTTGGTTTAAATCGAATCAATTTGAACCAACAACGGATAAAATCAGATAAATATATTCTAAATCGGTCTAAATAATACCACACACATTTTTTTTAATATCAAACTACAACAAGATACTTTGGCAACGTTAAAGCTTTAAAGTAGATACTTTGTTTATTTTATTATTTGCCGATCGTGTACAAAAAAATGTGTGTGTGTGTGTGTGTGTGTATATATATATATATATATATATATATATATATATATATATATATATATATATATATATATATATATATATATATATATATATATCGGTTCTGACGGATACTCAACGGGTAGTGGTTCCGAAAAAAAGAGAACAAGAACCAAAACCGCTTAAGGCGGTTCCATAACTTTAGGAACCGGAACCGGAACAACTTAAGACAGTTTCGGTTCCAGAACCGGCAATTCCGGTTCCAAAAGCAGGTACCCCATTGCGATGCTCATCCCTGTATACTAGTTCATAGTTAATAATATATCTTTTATAAAATAATAATAACTAATTTCATAGGTATAAACTTACCAAGAACTTTATACTATCTGCAATGCTTTCTTTCCTAAGACCATATTAGATCAACGCATTTAACAATGAACAACAAAGCCAATAAGAAAAATAATATATTTGTCCTTTTGAAGTTCCTTTTGGGTCATAGCATCAAAACCATAATTATTAAAACAGCACGTATAAAATCTAGGAAAAGAAGCAATCTTTTCCTTTTCTCTGTGCTTGCTTGCTTTATTTACCATTTGTCTAGTTACGAATAAATATATTCCAATACAAAAAGGCTTGCCAGGGTATGTTACACAAAATTCTGAATAAAAATAGTTACAATTAGAAGCAAAATATTTAATGAAAAATGTAATCACAATTGAGTTGTTATGAATGTTGGTTTGAATGGATGGGTTCAATATGATCCAATCATCTTAATCCAAATTGATATTCATTTTTAGCACATGGATTCAAATAGTTTAAAGTAAACTCAAATTCAATTCGAACCAGTCAAATTAAAATTCGGTTTCCTGAGATATTTTAAAAATAATATATATATATATATATATATATATATATATATATATATATATATATATATATATATATAAACAATTATTACGAAAATATTTATACTGTGTCCTTTGAAACCCTAGAAACCTAGTGGCATACCTCTATCTGAAACTATATAGTAAACTAGTGTAAATAAAAAATTAAAAAAACACATTTTTTTTTTTCTAAAATAGTACACATGCAAGAAACACGCTCGTTTGAACTTGCTGTTTATAGATTCTTGGACTCCAAATGTGTAAAAGTGTAAAGAGACAAATCTTGAGCTTAACATTAAGTTTTTTTATTTTTTGACTCCAACTGAAGCAAGGAAGTTGATTCAGATATATAGCTGGACTACCACTTTATTCCATTTCTGACATGTATTTAAACCCAATCAAGGTTACCCTCAAAACCAGACTACCTATCCTTCACCCCAATAGCCTCCCACCCTTTCTTCCATCAAAATGGACCAATCACTGTCCACTTACACCAACAAATTACCATCATCTAACCCCGACAAACGGCTCTTAACAACCACCAACCCCTTAACAACCACCAATCCATTAACAGGAACCCCTTCATCAATGAACCCAATGCAGCAGCAACAGCCACATCAGCAGCAACACCAACAGCAACAACTCATGGGTCCTATGAGTAACCCAGTGGCTCAACAGCTGCTGGGTCTCTCGAGCAACCCGTTGCAGCAGCAGTTAATGGGTCCCAAAAACAACCCGATGATGAACTCAATGGCAAATCCGATGATGAACTCAATGGCAAATCCAATGATGAACTCAATGGTGAATCCTATGGGGAACACAATGCATACCACCCCGTTGCACCACCAGATGGTGACACCTGTACACAATCCACTGATGCAGCAACAAAACAGAGATGAAAGGAACTCCATTTTTAGTGCTTCGGATGACAATGTGATCATGAAGCAAGTGCTTGATACTCATCTCCCTGATGGCACTGATGTTGATGTCAAACCACTTCTCAACATCGTGGAAGATATACTTCGACATGCCACCATTAGTGTCGATTCCACTTCATCGGTATTAACATTTCTTTTATCATTAATTAACTCCACTTTTTGAACAGCATATCTTAGTTTTCTAACTATACATAACAAAAAAACATATTTGAACATCATACCAAACAAACCTTAACGATCAATTGTTATTGAACTTGCTTAGACTGAGCATACAGATCTGGGAAAGCTCGAGGGTAAAATGGACAACAAACCCCACCAAATGAACGCTGTTGTGATGCTTAACTCATTGTCACATATAATCGACAAACTTGCTTGCGAGGTATATTAAATACTATTCTGATCTTAAAAAACCAAAATGTGATAAATAAATAAATAAAAAAAAGAACTAAAAAGATTCATTTTTGTAAATATTTCAGATGTCCTTCAGGTGCTTAAGTGGCGGAGACGGACACACAACTGCCCTCGCCCTATTTCATACAGTAGGAAACTTCCACTGGGATGCAAAACTGGTGTTGACACTTTCAGCTTTTGCTCTCAACTACGGAGAATTCTGGCTTCTAGCTCAAATCTATTCATCAAACCAACTTGCAAGATCCATGGCTATTCTAAGACAAGTTCCAATGATCATGGAGAATTCAGCCCCTTTGAAACCTCGATTTGACATCCTAAATAAACTCATTCGCTCTGTCCTGGAATTGACTCAATGCATCATGCAGTTTAAAGAGCTTCCATCCATGTATGTTACTACTGATGTTCCAGCCATGGCTAGAGCTTTGAACACTCTCCCCACAGCAGTTTACTGGAATGTTAGAGGGATTATCGCTTGTGCTGCACAGATTACAAGCCTCACTAGCATGGGACATGAGTAAATAATACTTTCATCCTCTATAAAATCTTGGAATCAGATTGTGTGTTGACTAACGAGGTTTGTTGACTTCAGGTACGGGATATCATCATCGGAATTGCAGTCATGGGAACTCTCCACCTTAATCCTTAAGATTAATCATTTACACGAGTTTCTCAAGAAACAACTCGAAGATTGCCACCGTGTTGTAGGTATGTTGTTGATGCTCAATGGTTTAAGCTGTTACCCTTGAACAAAACTCTATTTTTTTAAATTTCTTTTTAAAACATATTTAAACCCACTTATTTCTATGTCCTGTACGAATAATGCAGGAGACAGGAGGGAGATGGATTTCAGGAACTCATTCAATCAGCTATTTGAAACAATCCATATCGACAACATGAAAATCCTCAGGATCTTAATTAGTCCAAGAGATGACAATCTGCCACTTTTCGATGGCGCGACTAAGAAAAGGGTTTGAACAATGATTTATACTATATTTACATATTTTGACTTATATTTAAACGCAAATTCTAATTTACATAATTACAGGTCAGCCTAGAAGTTCTTAGGAAAAGGAATGTGTTGTTGCTGATATCAGGGCTAGACATGTCTAGCGACGAGTTATCCATTCTTGAGCAAATTTACAGTGAGTCACGAATTCAAGGAACAAGGCTGGATGCTTTGTATGAGGTCGTATGGATGCCTATTGTGGACCCCTCGATAGAGTACACTGAAGCAATGAACAAACAGTTTGAAGAGATGAAGAACAGAATGCCATGGTTCTCAGTGTACCACCCTTCCATCATTGATAGGGCAGTCAAAAGGTCAATTGGTGACAGGTGGCACTTTAGGAGCAAGCCTATACTCGTAGTGTTGGACCCACAGGGACGGGAGTTGAGCCCCAATGCGATTCATATGATGTGGATTTGGGGAAGCAATGCATTCCCTTTCACAAGTGCTAGAGAGGAAGCCTTGTGGAGGGAAGAAACTTGGAGGCTTGAGTTGCTAGTCAGTGGCATGGACCCCACCATTCTTAACTGGGTGAGTCTGCTTCTTGTTATATTCTTATAATACATACTAAATATTGACTTGTATTCTGTGTTTTAGATAAGAGATGACAAATACATCTTTTTGTATGGAGGGGACGATATTGAGTGGATTCGCAAATTCACAAGCAATGCAAGAGCCATGGCAACAGCTGCACGCATCCCGTTAGAAATGGCGTATGTTGGAAAAAGCAAGAAAAGGGAAAATGTTCGTCGGGCGATTGCCGCCATCAATGTGGAAAAACTTAGTTACTGCTGGCAAGATACCACTCTGATTTGGTTCTTCTGGACACGAATTGAGAGCATGTTGTTCTCCAAGATTCAACTTAAGAGGGCTGATGATCAAGACCCTATAATGCTACAGATCAAGAAGCTACTGAGCTATGATAAGGATGGATCATGGGCTTTGCTCTGTAGAGGATCACAGATTCTAACTAATGGACATGGATCCACCATGTTGCAGACCCCTACTGACTTTGATCTATGGAAGGAACATGTCCCTACAAGGGGTTTTGATTTGTCATTTACAGACTACCATGACAAGCTTCATGTTGCAGCGAATAACTGCTGTCGATTTGAGTTTCCTATTGCAGCAGGTAGAATCCCAGAAGGCATGCGTTGCCCTGAGTGCCATCGTTTGATGGAGAAATACATTGCTTTCCTTTGTTGCCATGACCAAACTGGCCTTCTTGAACCCTATTGAAGAACTGCTATGAGTATCAACTAAACTGGCACACTCTACTCTGATGCCAGTAAGTATTACTAAGTGAATAAACAACGGTATGTGAATGTTGTTGTTTTTGTCTTCTACTACGATAAGATTGTAATGTGTGATCGTTTTTACCTGAATGTATCCTGGTGGATCTAAACTGCTTTATGGATTAGAACCACTATGTAATAAAATGTTTATGAATCTTATTATAAAGTCATTGTTATATGTATTTGATATTTTGATACTATACTAGTATAATATTATTATGTTGCAAAATGCAAACTAGTTCTTCCTAAATTGTAACGGGCGGATCTGATAATCAGCTAAGCCACTATGATATGATGGAAGAAAAAGATAGAAAGGAAAATAGATAACTAGAAATACCAATTGTTAATGAATCTACTAAGCTGTGTAAGTTCGATCTCATGCTTATGTAAAATGTCACGTTATCTATTTGACTACACACAATAGATCATCAACAACCAGAGGCATTTACAAACAGGATCAAGTGATCAACTATACTATTGGCCTCGTTTGTTAACAGTCCACAAAAAAATAGTAACGGTAACAAATCTTGAGGAACGATTGGATATCTTTAACACGACTACAATGCAGGCCGAAATCATCTCAAAGATGGCTATTTTATTCTGGAAACAAATAAAGAGCACATACAACTCTGATTAATGAAACTTTTGTATAATTTATGAATCTGATCCAGGGGATAACAGGATTTGGAAATTTAGGTTGCGTTTGGTTGTAGCAGATTTTCCAGTTTTCTAGAAAAAATTTCAAAGAAAACGAAAATTTTGAAAACGCATTTGGTTCGTTCAGTTTTCCAAAATTTTCCAAGAAACTGAAAATTTTTTGTTTTCAAAATTGTATGTAAACTAGAAAAGTGTTTTTCAAAGTTTTCCAAATTTCTAAGATGGAAAAATGAAAACTTCCCCGATTTTAACAAAACGCGTTTTCTAAAATTTTCATTGAAAATTGAAAATGAAAACTCAACTCTATTTTTTGAAAACATTTTCTAGAAAATGAAAATAATTTTCCACAACCAAACACACCCTTAACTTCGACGAATAGGAATACAAAAGAGAAGATACCTAATGAACAGATTCTCGCTTAACTATTTTGTTGCTTTTCTCTAGCAAATAGTTTACGTAAACAAAGTTATGAACCCTTGATTTGAAACAGATTAGCAAGGGTGATAGCTTATTTTATTTACTTATTTTTATTAGTTTATTTTAGATTTTTAGATATTTTTATCATTAATGCATTGTATTTTATTTATTTTTCTTTAGTATGGATCGTACCGGGTGCTTGTTATGTTGCATGAGATATTTTGTAGGTTTTTCGGTGCTTGTTGCGGTTGCGGGTTGATTGGAGACGAGCTTAGTGGGCTCCTGGGGCATTATTGGGCTTGGCGGAATCAAAGAGGAAGAATTGGGCTTTGAAAGTTATTGGTTTAGATTATTTGGGCTTGTGAAGATGGATCATAAAATTCAAATTTTAGGCTTGGAGCATCCATTTGGTGGCTAAATGATGATTGGTGCATTTCAAATTACATGGACAAGGAGGGGGACCAAAAGAATCTTTGGTAGTGGAAGAAGGGTGGAGTGGTTTGGTGGACCAATAGCATTACAACAACATTTGCGCGGGTGGAATTTTCGTCACGCGGGTACCCGCGCAACTGCCCAGGTTGGGCATTTTGGTCATTTGGCTTGCCATAACCTTTGGAGATCAGATCCAGAAGCTCATTCACGATTTTCCACCATTGGAGACCTGCAAGAGGCGATTTTGGGAGCTAGATATCATTTCCTTTCATCTTTCCAAATCTTAGGTAGTTTCTTTATGCAATTAGATTATTGTTCTTGTTACTATGTTGCCATGAGTGGTTAATACTCTTATTTGGTTGACTTTGGCTGAAAACCAATGAATTTTTGTGAGTTTTGAAGGATTTATGTTGATTATCAATTTATTCCATGTTTATGATTCTAGTTTGCAATTCTTATGCTTATTTGATGCTTTGATCATGAGCTTAGTATTTGATTGAGCAATGGTTGATTTATTTCATTGATTTTGCATTGGATCATTGAATTTATCTAGAACAAAGGCTTTATGATGGTAGAAATCATCTCTAGCTTATGAATCATATCTCCTTTATAGATTTGTAAGCATTTAACATCCTCTAGGAATTGGGGATTCCTTCATTCTTAAGGCTAATTGATTTCTTGGGATTAATTGCTTCAATTGACCCTTGATCTTAATTAAGAAGGTGTGTTGTGGGCTTCCCCAACCTCCATACTACCTATGAGGAATCTTAGCATATCATGCTTCATGATTGTTATAACCAATTTGGGATGAAGGATAAGCTTTGTATTAGATCCTAATGATAAACACACAAATGTTCATTGTATTGAATTGCCTTAGTTAACCAATTATTCCCAATCTTTGAGCATCTCATCAACTTGCTTAATTGCAAGGTTTTTAGTTATTCAATTATTTTAGTTTTCAAGTAAAATCAAACACCCCCCTTTTAGTTTAATTGTAGTTAGTTAGTTTAATTTCACTAGTTTTATTGAATTACATTGGTGATTGAAACCATTTCCCGAGGATCGATACCCCTTTTTACCATTATATCACGTTTATTTAGCAATCAAAGGGTGTAATTTTCTTGGTGGGTTTGACATCCCAACCAAGTTTTGGCGCCGTTGCCGGGGATGGAGTTTAGAACATGTAAGCCCCAATTTCTCGTTAATATATTATAGTTTGTATTTTATTATTTTATAAATCTAGAATGAAAATATTTTAAAATTTAAAGAGAGCAACTAATAAATAATAATTTTTGGACCTAAAAATAAATATAATTATGACGAAGGGCTAAAAGGAGCAAGTTAGAAACCTTCTATTATAAGCCTTTTCACATTTCATTTTTTTATACCACATCAAGGTCATGTCATTTTCTTACATCTTTCATTTTTTTTCTCCGGCAAACCTTCTATTATAAGACCGTAGGTATACCCTCATTTTTCCCGTATCTTTCATTTTGTTGCTTTTCTCCGACAAACAGTTCACACAAACAAAGTTACGAAACCTTGATTTGAAATAGATCAGCGAGGGAATAGAGTTTAGAATATTAAATAAGGTTATGTTACATGAGGTTCGACAAGATGCTTAATTAATTGCATGTAAGGATTCGTGATCCTTATATAAATAAGGAAATAAGGAGGAATCTTGTTTAACTACCATATTCAAATTCTTCGCAATCCTTATGTAAATAAGGAAATAAGGAGAGTTGATTCCATGTTCCAGCAACGTGTGTTGCAGAACAACAAATATCTCGTTGACAGTTGATTATTTAGATATGCTTTACCTTCTCTCACCTCTTGATCTATCTCATATTCTCACCTTTATTTTTTTTTTCTTCATGTTGAAAACAATGATGACCCTGACCTCCTTTATTTGTTGTGGTAGATTTTGTCGCCCACCAAAATCTCATTGAGAAACACCATTATCTCTCAATTTCCTGCTACTTTATGATCACTCAACAACCTTCTGAACCTTAGATTACTCCTACTGTCATCAATCCCCCTTTTCTCCTATTTTTCTTCTGGTCAACTACCAATGACACCACATCAATATCGATTTCAACATTCTTTTCCCTTTTATAAGTGTTTTTATGTATTTTTAATCCTACATGTTTAAGGTATAATTGTATTGATTTTGTTATCCGTATGAACTTGGCCACTGATAACTGTTTGAATTGAATTGAAAAAGTTTAGAAAACTAACGTGTGAAGACTGAAGACTTAATCAATTTAGTAACACTTTTTTGTTCTCGTGCTCATGGAAATTGATTTAGCAAATTATATCTATACTTGGATTAACTTCAATATTTGATTCCTAGTTTGGATAAATATTAGGTGTTGATATAACAACGTTGTTGAAATTAATGGATGCAAAATCATAATTGATTTCTAATCAAACGATTTTCAGTGAAGAAGTAAAATTTATAGTTGTGAGATCCTTGCATATTATAATAACCTAACCTCAAATCCATCATAGAAAAAATGTTAATTGATATGTGGTTTTTCTTGTATACTATAGATAAGATCCGATGCATTATTGACTTATTGGTGAAGGTCGAGTACCTTCCATTAACAAAATCGTTGTGCATCTTTCTTAACTGTTATATTCACATGATGCTTATTTTTGTTTATTGAAAATTGATTTTGAGCTCAAATATCTCATACTCTTTAACAAGTCCTTTGTGATGGTATCACCGTCATATATTGGATAACCAATTTTATTGACTTGGATACTCCGTTTTTCTTAGTAGTTTATCTCAGACCTTCACTCATTTTGTTTAATTTAATAAACAGAAATCGGTACTTTGAATGGATATCTTTATAAATCAGTTGTAGAAAACAAAAAAGCGGTTGGTGGCTTACAATAATAAAAGCCCCTATAGCTCAGTGGTAGAGCGCCAGTCTTGTAAACTGGAGGTCTGTAGTTCGATCCTGCATGGGGGCAGAATTTTTTATTTTTTATTTTTTATTTTTTTTGGGGGTATTTTTCATTGTAAACTTCTTATGTTTTCATCTTCTACCTGTCATCAGTCATCAATGGCTTCCTTTCTTCAAAAGCTTTTTAGATAAAAGCAATCCAGTACAAGCCTGATTACCAATCTAAACAGACGAATTCTCTCCCCGTCGTCCCATTTACTCGATCCCAAACCCGGACCAACCGTCGCTCCGATCCCCTTCTTCAATGGCCTACCCAAAACTACTGATGAATCAAACCCTAATCCTCCTAATCTTTCAGCTTTCTACCCGACTTTTGCGTTTGAGAGTTTTTTGAATCCAATTTCTCAACTTGGGTTTATTCAACATGTTGTACCTGAAGAAGACATTGTTTCGGGCAATGATGAACGAGGGATTTGGGCTGATAGTGTGAAGAAGAAGAGAAAGAAGAAGATGAACAAGCACAAATTGAAGAAGCTGAGGAAGCGTCTGCGGAGGAAAACATAGTTTCATTTTCTTCAATCTGGTGAGGATGCCAGGTTATTGTTTTTTGCTGGTTTTCTTATTGATTCAAGAGAAGAATCTACCTTAATTTCTGTAACATCCCCTCTTTTGATTTCACTTTCCGGAAATACCAATTTTCATGACCTAATTTTATTTCATTTATCGAATTGAAAGTGCTTAATAATTCAGATTTGTATCAATCACGTGGTCTTTGATCTAATGGTATCTCTACAACCCTTAGCCTTAGGTTGTGAGTTCAAACATCAATATCAGTTAAATGGTATCTTTGTGTTTTGAATTTTGGAGGTTTCAGGAGTAATTTGATATGAATTGAACTTACTGTCGTCTATCATGTTTGATGAGCCCTCGATTCCAAGTATAGCCAAACTATGCCTACTGATACTATCTTGCTGGATCTTGTTGTGCTATATGTGTTTTTGTTCTGCATCTCTGGCGCCCTTAAAATATGCATTCTATAAGTTAATTCCATTTTCTGGATGCTAGAGATGATAGATTTCAGTTTTTAGGCAATGAGTTGTGGTTGGATTAACCAAAATTGCTTTTGTTGTTTGAGTATATGTGCTACGAATAATAGTTTGGTAGACTGGCATTGATAAGCTACATAGTTCCTAAAAGTTTCATGGGGGAGTTTGGTTCACATATTGTTTTGGAAGAAAGTGGATTCTGTCAAAGTAATTGAAATTTGAAGAATTTGGAATATGTCACGTCATGTGTTTGTGTTTGGTTGGGAGGAAATAGAATGGAACATGGGTTTAAGAATCATCTTCAACACACGTGGTTTTAGAATTGAGCCTTCTCCAAAAACATCAGCCTCTCTGCCATCTCAGTCCCTGGTCGTCATCCTCATCCTATTAGACTTTGGTACATGAAACAACTATATATAAACACTTGATATAAAACCTAAACACATGTTTATGCTAATTTCCACATTGGATACTTAATGATTAATCTGAGCCAACATCAAGCAAGCAATCTTAAGAACAAGAAGCATCTGTTCCTTTTAACCATTCCCCAAAAGCTTCTGATCAACCGCTTGTTTTGGATCCTCCGAAGTCATCACATTTCTCATCCATTCCACCAAACTCATCTTAGATGTCCACTAAAAAACTCATTGTGTTGACTTTGCTTTCTACCAATTCGTACTTGTATGCTTCTCCACACCCACCTTTTCTGATGATTTGTAGGGATGCAACTCCGTCGTCTTTATCAAGAAAAGCGAGTTTTTCGGCTTTAATAAGTTGTCTGAAAATGGGAGGCGTGCCTTTAATCTTATTCAAAATCATTTAATTTAAAGAGTATTGTTACCATGGTTCCGCATATAATCTGATTGCAAAAATTAATTGGCGAGAAGTCAGAAAAAAGAAATGATCGTGCTAAGGGTTAAAGATTATCACTGTGATTTAGAAGGCAGGAGTATTATGGTTCATTTGTTTATTATTATTATTTTATTTTTAATGATTTTAAAATATTAAAAAGGATTATCAAATAATAAAAACTGTTTAAAAAATAGATTTGGGCAAATCTCATATTTTAAAACATTAAGAAAGGAAAATATGATATCTAGAGTTTAGATCATACAAATATGATATTTAGACGTTTAATAAGAGTATATATAAAAAATTTCTTATTTTAAAAAGCACAATTTTTTCCAAAATAGTACACACGCAAGAAACACGTTGTTTGAAACTTTGTGGTTTTTAGATTCCTAGGCTCCAAATGTTAAAAGTGTAAAGAGACAAATCTTGAGCTTAACATTAAGTTTTTTTTTTTTTTTTGACTCCAATGTAAAGCAAGGAAGTTGATTCAGCTATATACCTGGACTACCTTTATTCCATTTTCTAACATGTATTTAAACCCAATCAAGGTTACCCTCAAAACCAAACTACCAATAGCCCCTCCTCACCTTTCTTCCATCAAAATGGACCGATAGCTGTCCACTTACACCGACAAATCACCATCATCTTAACACCCACCAACCCCTTAACGAGCACCAATCCATTAACAGGGACTAGCTACTTCATCAATGAACCCAATGCAGCAGCAACAGCCACATCTAGTGGCTCAACAGCTACTGGATCTCTCAAGCAAACCATTGCAGCACTTAATGGGTCTCAGAGACAAGCCCATGATGAACTCAATGGCAAATCCTATGATGAACCCAATGGTGAATCCAATGGCAAACACAATGCATACCACCCGGTTGCCCAACCAGATGGCGACATCTGTACACAATCCACTGATGCATCAACAAAACAGAAGTAAAAACAACTACATTTTTAGTGCTTTGGATGACAATGTGATCACGAAGCAAGTGGTTGATACTCATCTCCCTGATGGCAATGATGTTGATGTCAAACCACTTCTCGACATCGTGGAAGATATAATCCGATATGCCACCATTAATGTCGATTCCACTTCATTGGTATTAACATTTTTGTTTATCAATATGTTCACTTTTTATCTATTAATAAGACTTTTATTACTAACACGTGTTAGGTATGCAGTAATCGAAGAAGAATAGAACTGAACATTCCTCATGGAAACTCATTCCTTATGAGGTTTTTCTTTTTCATTCATTGATGGAATGGAATGATATATTATAATTGTAAATTTCTTTTATTTATATAATCTTTCAATTAAACTAATGTTTTCCAAAATTTTCAAAACTTCAATTAGATTTTTCTTATTCTCCAAGAATAAGTAGATGTTTTTTTCTCTTAAATTTCATGCTATTTATTTATTTGTCAAAAAATTTAGATGATAAATTATATATATATATATATATATATATATATATATATATATATATATATTAAATGATATGAAATACATTTAAATGTAATTTATTTAACGATATATCTTTAATTTGGTTACAGTTTGTTTTATGAAGCAACCCTTTTTCTATATTTATCAGTTTAATTTTACTTAGTTTTCTAACTATACATAACAAAAAACATATTTGAATGTTTCATTATAATCCTTCAAACCAACCAAACATTATCCATTTAATTATGTTATTCATTCCATTACATTATAAAAAACACGCCCCGTTGTTCTTGAATTTGGTGTAGGCTGAGCATACAGATGTGGGAAAGGTCGAGAGCAAACTGGGCAGCAAACCCCACGAAATGAACACTGTTGTGATGCTTAACTCATTGTCACATGTAATCGAAAAACTTGCTTCCGAGGTATATTACTATTCCCATCCTAACAAACCAAAATGTGATAAAAAAAATAAAAAATAAAAAATAAGAAACTAATTTTTGTAAATATTTCAGATGTCCTTGAGGTGCTTAAGTGTCGGGGATGGACACACAACCGCTCTCGCCCTATTGCACATGGTAGGAAACTTCCACTGGGATGCAAAACTGGTGTTGACACTTGCAGCTTTTGCTCTCAACCATGGGGATTTCTGCCTTCTAGGTCAAATCCATTCATCAAACCAACTTGGAAGTTCCATGGCTATTCTAAGACAAGTTCCAATGATGATGGAGAATTCAGCCTCTTTGAAACCTCGATTTGACATCCTAAATAAACTCATTCGCTCTGTCCTTGAATTAACTCGATGCATCATGCAGTTTAACGAGCTTCCATCTATGTATGTTACTCCTGATGTGCCAACCATGGCTAAAGCTTTGAATATTATACCCACCGCTGTTTACTGGAGTTTTAGAGGGATTGTTGCCTGTGCTACACTGATTACAAGCATCACTAGCAATGGACATGAGTAAATACTAAATAATACTTTGATACACTGCTTAAAATCTTATATGAAATGAGAATGTGTATTGACTAATGAGGTTTGTTGACTTCAGGTATGGGAAATCATCCTTGGAGTTGCAGCCATGGGAACTCTCCACCTTAATCCTTAGGATTAATCAATTAGATGAGTTTTTCAAGAAACAACTCGAAAATTGCCACCGTGTTGTAGGTATGTTGTTGATGCTTTATACAAATAATCGCAACATGGTTCATTGGTTATTAATATATAGACGAAGATGTTGTTTCTTTTTGACTTAATATAAACAGATTAGCTTAATGGGTTATGGTAGTGGAGGGCATGCTTATCCATTAAGACCTCATTGTTTAAGCTGTTACCCTTTAACCAAACTCTTTTTTTTTAATTTCTTTTTAAAACATATTTATCCATTTACCACTTTACACATACAATGCATAAAGAGGAAAAAAAAAAAAAAAACATCACCTAAGGCAACTATATTCCTGTATGGATAATGTAGGAGAGAGGAGGGAGATGGATTTCAGGAACTCATTCAATCAGCTATTTGAGACAGTCCATATCGACAACATGAAAATCCTCAAGATCTTAATTAGTCCAAGAGATGACAATCTGCCACTTTTCGATGGCGCGACTAAGAAAAGGGTTTGAACAATGATTTATACTATATTTACATATATTGACTTATATTTAAACGCAAATTCTAATTTACATAATTACAGGTCAGCCTAGAAGTTCTTAGGAAAAGGAATGTGTTGTTGCTGATATCAGGGCTAGACATGTCTAGCGATGAGCTGTCCATTCTTGAGCAAATTTACAGCGAGTCACGAATTCAAGGAAAAAGAGGGGATGCTCTGTATGAGGTCCTATGGATGCCTATTGTGGACCCCTGGATAGAGTACACTGAAGCAATGAACAAAAAGTTTGAAGAGATGAAGAACAGAATGCCATGGTTCTCAGTGTACCACCCTTCCATCATTGATAGGGCAGTCAAAAGGTCAATTGGTGACAGGTGGCACTTTAGGAGCAAGCCTATACTCGTAGTGTTGGACCTACACGGAAGGGAGTTGAGCCCCAATGCAATTCATATGATGTGGATTTGGGGAAGCAATGCATTCCCTTTCACAAGTGCTAGAGAGGAAGCCTTGTGGAGGGAAGAAACTTGGAGGCTTGAGTTGCTAGTCAGTGGCATGGACCCCACCATTCTTAACTGGGTGAGTCTGCTTCTTGTTATATTCTTAAATACATACTAAATATTGACTTGTATTTTGTGTTTTAGATAAGAGATGACAAATACATCTTTTTGTATGGAGGGGACGATATTGAGTGGATTCGCAAATTCACAAGCAATGCAAGAGCCATGGCAACAGCTGCACGCATCCCGTTAGAAATGGCGTATGTTGGAAAAAGCAAGAAAAGGGAAAATGTTCGTAGGGCGATTGCCGCCATCAATGTGGAAAAACTTAGTTACACCTGGCAAGATACCATTCTGATTTGGTTCTTCTGGGCACGAATTGAGAGCATGTTGTTCTCCAAGATTCAACTTAAGAGGGATGATGATCAAGACCTTATAATGCTACAGATCAAGAAACTACTGAGCTATGATAAGGATGGATCATGGGCTTTGCTGTGTAGAGGATCACAGATTCTAACTAATGGACATGGATCCACCATGTTGGAGACCCTTACTGGCTTTGATCTATGGAAGGAACATGTCCCTACAAGGGGTTTTGATTTGTCATTTAGAGACTATCATGACAAGCTTTATGTTGCAGCGGGTTACTGCTGTCAATTCGAGTTTCCTATTACAGCAGGTAGAATCCCTGAAGGCATGCGTTGCCCTGAGTGTCATCGATTGATGGAGAAATACACTGCTTTCCTTTGTTGCCACGATCAAACTGGCCTTCTTGAACCCTATTGAAGAACTGATATTCGCATCAACTAAACTGGCACACTCTACTCGGATGCCAGTAAGTATTACGAAGTGAATAAACAGCGGTATGTGAATGTTGTTTTTGTCTTCTACTATGATAAGATTGTAATGTGTGAAGTCAGAAGTGTGTGATTGTTATTACTTGAGTGTATCCTGGTGGATCTAAACTGCATTATGGGTTAGAACCACTATGTAATAAAAATGTTTATGAATCTTATTATAAGGTCATTGTTATATGTATTTGATATTTTGACACTACACTATATATTATGCTGCAAAATGCAAACCACTTCTCCTAAATTGTATTGGATAAATTTGATAATCAGGTAAGTCGCTAGGATATGATGGAAGAAAAGATAGAGATGAAAATAGATAACTAGAAATACCAATTTTAAATGAATCTACTTACTAAACTGTGTAATTTCAATCTCATGCTTGTGTAAAATGTAAAAATGTTAGCATTATTTATTTACAAACAGAATCAACTAAACAATCGACATTCATCCGTTAACAATCCACAAAAATAAGTAGCAATTGTAACAAATCTTACGGAACGATTGGATATCTTTAACACGACTACAGTGTAGGTTGAAATCATCGTCAAAGATGGGTATTTTTACTCTGGAAACAAATAAAGAGCACATATACAACTCAAGTTAATACTTGATTTATGAAAACTTTGTATAATTTATGAATCCGTTCGAGGATTTGGAAATCCAAATTTCGACGAATAGGAGTACAGAGGAGAAGATACCTAATGAGCCAATTCTCGATCGACTGTTTTTTTGTTGCTTTTCTCCAGCAAACAGTTCACGTAACCGAAGTTACGAACCCTTGATTTGAAATGGATTAGCGAGGGAATAGAGTTTAGAACATTAAATATTTTAAGAAATAATTAGAAATTCGAGAAATCTTTAAAATAAGTTAAATAACCACAATTTTAGATGACATTAAAAATTGAAATTGACTGAAAAGTAGAGAAAAAACGACGTTAAGTGATGTCAATGGGCCGAGAAATGGGCAAACCTATCTGGGAACTGGACCTAAAAATAGGCATTGGGTTGTCAAAAATATATATATATATATATATATATATATATATATATATATATATATATATATATATATATATATATATATATATATATATACCGTTTACCCGCGCTAAGCGACGAGTGCGAATGATTTTTTTTCATAAAATAGTTTGTAAAGACGATTAGTTCAAATGATTAAAATTATACCATTAGAAAAAGAAAATAAACTATCCAAACAATCAAACTTCTAGAATTCTTGATTGTAGAATAAATTTAACTACTTTGAATCATAATAGCTATCCAAACATCCTTCCTTTGGCGACTTAAATAAAATCAACAAAATCAACAACTTTAACCGTTGAAAATGGCTATGAACTTGATAGTCATTATCTTCTTATTTTGCATCACTATTTTGTCCATAAACCATTAGATGATATTCATTGTATATTTGTTCTTTGACGCGACCATGTGATAAAAAAACTCATTCGATGGGTTAGTAATACCCGGTGTTATTTTTAAGAGCCTAAGTGTGGGTGGAGTAAGGAAAAAATAGTCATTTTCAAAAATATAACTAAGGTGTTAGTTTTAATAACCCATGGATTAGTCATGTCAAAATAATAGTTATAACTTTCGCAATAAATAAGGAAATAAAGCTTTAGTGTGCAAGGTATTTTAATACCTCTTCCGGTCTTCCCTATATAAAGATAAAATTACGTAAATGGTCCCTGTGGTTGACAAATTATAACACCGGAGGTCCTTTTCAAAGTTTGTGAGCACCATGGGTCCTTTTGAGAAGAAATTTGCACATGAGGGGTCCTTTTGGTAAACACCGTTAACTTAGAGACGTTACTCTCTCTCACATGCTCACTATGTGAGGGCAATTCGGTATTTTTCATCTTTGCCACACTATTGCTTTTCATGCTCATAACCCTACGTTAGTTCATCAATCACTAGCCCAAAAACCCTTTTCTCCTTACGATTGAAGAAATTGCAAACAACCATAATCACGAGCAATATCTCCTTCATCTTCGTTATTGTTGAAGTTCATGCATAATGGTTTTTAGTATATGGAATCTTCGTTCACGTTTTGCCCCTAAACCAAACTTGCACGAAGAATATGGTAAGTTTTATCATCAAAATACAAAGTTTATCTTAAAAAATGTTATAGTTAGTTTTTTCCCCTCCAAGGTAACAATAAAGTTCTGATTTTTATCAGGATCAGTAGAAAATTTTTGTTCCTTCAAAATCCATCACAGTGGGGCTTTTACGAAGAACAGAGGAATAAGATATATTGATGGAATAGTTGATTATTACGATTTCGTTGATATGGATTTGTTTTCTATTCACGAGCTAGCCGACATGGTTAGGGAACTTGGATATAAGAATGGTGAGCCAATCTACCTTCATTTTCATACACCAGGTACTGAATTGGATTTTGGGTTAATGCCTCTGGTTACTGATGGAGATGTTAATAACATGAGTAAATATGTTAAGGAAAATAAAGTCCTTCACATTTACATAGAACATGGGCAATCAACACTTAATGAACCTATTCCATATTTTTATGATGCAAATGAAGGTCACCTATTGGAAGATGATACTAAATTAGATTCATTTGAAGGCCTTAATTTTTGGGAAACAAATTTAGATGATGATGATTTGTTCAGTATGGATGATAAGAGTGAAGATGGGATTATAGATGGTAGTAACACAAACAATGAAGAGAGTAGTGATTTACTATATGATGAGAACAACATCTTAAATGAACCAGAGGTTGACATGACAGACTTTATTAGTGTTTTTGACCAAGAAGTTGACAGAGATCCAAGTACCATTCCAATTCTTGATTCATTTGACAATGGTGAAGATGAACTGAATGTCATTGATACCCAAGTTCTTGATTCTGGGATAGTTGCAGGGGACAAGAGGAAGGAAATGTTGAAAAATCTTGCAAAGCCAATTCTTTGTTCACTAGAGGAAGTTCATCAACCAACATTCAGACTTGGTCAAAGATTTAAGAATAAAGAGGATGTGAAGCAGTTGGTGAAACTTCATTCAATACATACTAAGAGGTCCCTTTATTTTGAAAAAAAATGACAAAACAAGAATAAGGGTAAAATGCAACGGTGTTGTTCCAGACTTTAGTCAATGTGGGCCATGGATAAAAAGCAAGATTAGAAGCAAAAAAAAAAAGTTGTTCAGTCTACTTCTTCCACTTGCCCTTGGTTATTGTTTGTTTCAAGGAGAAATAGTGAAGAGGAATGGATGGTGAAAAGTATACAGATCACAACCGTGTTCATACTAGAGAAATCAAAGCTTGCACAACAAATTTCATGGCTAAAAATCTCATTGGACAAGTGGAGAGGAACCCTACTATTCCTGTTAGTGCCTTACATGAAGAGCTGCAAAAAAAAAAATACGAAGTGGGGTTTTCAAGGATGAAAGATTCTAGGGCTAAACAAATCGCTCAAAAACAAGTGTTTGGGGATTTTCAAAAGCAATATGCTTTACTCAGGGATTATGGATTAGAACTGATGAGATCTAATGTTGGAACAACATTCAAAGTAGATGTGTACAGTGAACCAAATCCCAGTTCACAGTCTAGAACCTTCAGAAGAGTTTATGTTTGCTTGGGTGCTTTGAAGTTGGGTTTTAAAGCAGGTATGAGAGATTTTTTGGGATTTGATGGTGCATTCTTAAAGGGTCCTTTCCCAGGTCAAGTTTTGTCTGCTGTAGGTCTAGATTCAAACAATGGAATCTACCCTCTAGCCTACAGTATTGTTAAAGCTGAGACTAAAAGTTCATGGAGTTGGTTCTTAGAGTGTTTAGCAGATGACCTAGATTTAAATGCATCTTCAAACTTCACCTTTATTTCTGATAGACAAAAAGTAAAATTCTTTTTAGATTGTCATAACTGCTATTTCTATTGCTAATTTGTAAACTATCTAATTTATGTTTGTTGTTTTAAATTAGGGTATCATACTTGCTATCAATCATATGTTCCCAAATGCTGAGCATAGATATTGTTTACGACATATTCATGAGAATATGAGACTGCATTGGAGGGATACAAAGTACAAGGACTTCTTATGGGACATTGCAACAACAACTACAATTCCACATTTTGACAATGCAATGGAGTTGTTCAAGAAGTATGATGTTATGGCACATGATTGGTTGAAGAAAATTACAACAACACATTGGAGTAGAGTTCATTTCAGTGGTTTGTTTTTTCCGTGTTATTATTGCACTATTTTTATATAAATTGTATTAAATGTATACAATCTTATATAGGAAGGGCAAAGACAGACAGCTTGACAAATAACTTGTGTGAGGTATTTAATTCAAAAATCATTCATGCTAGAGACAAACCCGTGATAACTTGTTTTGAATATATTAGAGAATACTTGATGAAAAGGATAGTTGTTGTTCAAAAATCCATTGACAAATCTAAAGGACCACTAACACCAACAACTACAACCATTTTAGAAGGTATTAAGAAAGAAGCAACTCAAAATGTGTGCATTTTTAATGGTGCTGAGAAGACACAGGTGACCACTCCAAGGAAGGACCAATATGTGGTCAATTTGAAGGAAAAAAGTTGTACTTGTATGTATTGGGAACTCACAGGCATTGTTTGTAGTCATGCTGTGAGTGCAATTTGGGACAAAATCAAGTATCGTGGAAAAAAGTACCTGATATAGAGGCATGGGTTCATCCAGTTTATTGGCTTCAAACATGGGCTGATATGTATAGCCATAAAATAGACCCTATTAATGGAAAGAGCAGGTGGTGCAAATCAGCATGTCCTTTTATACTAATGCCCCCTAAACATCATATTCAGGTAATCTTTAAATTTTAAACATAATACTCAGGTACTAGGTACTATCTGGTTCTAATATTTTTCTTTTTTATTTTTAGGTTGGGAGGCCAAAAAAGAAGAGAAAGAGAGTTGTAGGTGAGGTTGTGACTACAGGGAAAAACTTGAGCAGAAAGTACATCACAATAACCTGCAGTAAGTGTGGAAGCAAAGGGCACAATCAAAAAAGTTGTAAGGGTCAAGGTGGAGAAAGAGAAAGGATGAATGATGGTGGTAATGAAGTGCAGAAGAGAGGCAAAGCAGTGGCTGATGGGTGATATTTGTTATGTTTGTGTTTATGGGTACTTTGCTTTTGGGTATTTTTGGTTAAAGAATTTTTGACTTTTGCTTATGGGTAGTGTTTTGGTTAGACATATTTTTAGTACAATGCTTTTGTGACATTAGATTTTAATTTAGTTTGTGTAAAAATCATGTTTTTGTGAAATTTGATTTTAATTTAGTTTATGTAAACATTATATTTTTGCTTACACAAATGATACTAGAACTGTTGCTTGCATGATGTTATGTTAATATTAATCCAGGAAGATGCAGTACTCAAGAAGCAGTTAACAGAAAATGGTATCCCTCATATGAAAATTACCAAACTAGCCTTTATTGATTCTAACATGGATACACACCATAAAGTAAATCCCTTGTGAATACGTAAAGTAATTCAAAAATATACCAAATTGCCCTCACATATTGGGCATTTGAGAGAGAATAACATCTCTAAGTTAACGGTGTTTACCAAAAGGACCCCTCATGTGCAAATTTCTTCTCAAAAGGACTCATGGTGTTCATATACTTTGAAAAGGACCTCCGGTGTTATAATTTGCCAACCACAAGGACCATTTACGTAATTTTGTCCTATATAAATTAGGATAGATACAAACTGACTTGGAAATGCGATCAGATATAGCTTTAAAGAATTATGAACTCTATATCTAAATGGTATAAATAAATAGTATGTCAATGATCCATTAAATAAAACAAAGAGGGAAAGAGCAAAAAAAATGATGTCAAATCAAAAATAAATGATTGATTAGACAATTGATTAGATTGATATTAAGGGGGTAAATTTTGTTAAGGGGCACTTATAGCACAACCCTTTTCAAATTATTTATCGTTGTGCAGATCATCACCACAACCTCCAAAGACTTCCATTTCACCACCTTCCCTAAAAACTTCATCCATGTCTTCCATGCGTTCTCTCTATCTGAAACCCTAAAATGCGTATTAATCCATTTTCACCTTCTTCATCTCAATGATGGCGATGTCTATCTCAAAAAATCCTAAAATCTCTATTTTTTATTTATATCGTAATGAAGATGTGGTAATGCCTTTTCCGCTACCAGGTACCCCTACAGCCTCAATCATTTTGAAAGTCTTCCAACAACTACCTTCGTTGTCACAACTGCTTCACCACTGGTAATTAAGGTTTGTTTCTTTTTCCCCTTGGCCTTCTTCCTTACAATAGTCTTCCTACTCTGTATTTGTCACAAACTTATGCCTTCTACTTGTAGCTTTATTGACTTTTGAATGCCATATCCTGCTCTCTTTGATAAAACTTCCTGGTTTGACATATTTGAGCATTGAAACTATCATACTCACATGCATGCACACATAATTAGCTAAAATTTAACAATAAATAAGAAACAAAGAAGATGCTATCAGTTTCCAACCGTAGTGGAATCAAATTAGATTTACCAACCAATATGAATAATTAAGATGTAAGTCCCATCTAGTCAGTCTGCATACAAACTACCAAAAATTAGAAAATGTGTATAACTAAAATTGAATATAAACAACCAAATATGAGAAAATATGTATAAAATATTGAGTTACACATACTATAAACATTTTGACATATGATTTCCACATATGATTTCATAGCCTAAATTCGAACAATGTAGATTCATTTGCCATTGTTGTTTGTAATTAAAATTTGAACAAAGTTATTAGTTATGTAGAATATTTTTTTTCAGAAATAATTAGAATACCTCATAAAGGTATGAAATTCAGTCACCCAATAATATGCTCTTTCCCAGCATTTCCACACATTTATGTAACCTCAAACTGTGAAAGTGAAACATGGTTATAGCTTCGCTGTCACCACCTTCCCTAAAAACTTCACCCTCAGACCGATGGTCAGAACTAGCGGACCATTCAGATGCTTGAGGATATATTGAGGGCTTGTGTTATTGATTTTGGTGGGAGTTTGGACTCCTACCTTGACCTATCTAAGTTTCCTATAACAACAACTCTCATTCTAGTATTGGTGCACTGCCTTTCGAGCTTCTATACGGAAGGAGTTTTCGTACACTGATGTGTTGGGGAGAGGTTTTCCATAGGGTCATGGGTAGGAATGAGGTAGTCATGGGGAGGACTGAGGTTGGCCACAAATCTCATTAAGCAGATTATACAAAGATTGCAGACAAATCAGAGCCGATAGAAGAGCTACGTCGATAGACGGTGATCCGAGTTAGATTTTTAGGTCAAGAATGTAGTTTTGTTGAAGGTATCACCCTGTAAGGATGTTATATGCTTCAAGAAGAGGGGTAACTAGGTCCCCAACTTATTGGAATATTCTGAGTGATAGCCAAAGCTGGCAAGGTAGCCTATCATTTGGATTTACTGACGAGCATCGCCAGATTCATAATACCTTTCATGTTTCCCAACATTAGAAATGTGTAGCCAACAATTAAGAAGTGATCCCATTTAATGACATTCAGGTATATGTGTGGAGAGGTTGGTAGCAACTTGAGACCAAAAGATAAATGCTATGTGCAATAAGGTGGTACCTTTGGTCAAGGTCCAGTAGCAGCACTGGAAGGGTTTCGAGTGGATTTGGGAACCCAATGCAGAAATGCGGGAGCAATACCCAGAGTTATTTGCAGCTGAAGACTTCGAGGACAAAGTCTGATTCAAGTGAGGGAGAATTGTAACACCAAGTTTTCGGGTATGTTCCTTTTAAGTAATTTAATAATTTGGATGATTGGATCTTTGGTCGCCATGGCGTGGCGATGGAGTCTCATGGTGTGGCCAAGGGTAGAGTTTTTCGTGGACTCTAAGTTAGCGCCACGACGTGGTATATATTCGCCACGACATGACTGTTGTTTAATTACAAACTCTAATATGGGTTTTGATACCCTATTAATGGGAATATGATGGATAGGGTTGCCACCGTTAACCTCATTCACTCTCCCTCAGCCTCCAAGAGGAAACCCTAGCCTCGATT